TGACATCGGAGCAAAGGACTTTTAGGACAAAATTTTTATATGGATTTGGAATTGTAAATATCATTTTGAAAATAATTTAAATTTTTGTGTTTCATTTTCTAAATCTTTAATATTGTGGTTATTGAAGAACGATTTTTGAAGTTTCTCATGTGAACCCTTTTTACCGAAATTTAAACATTTATTTGTAAAGTTACAGTATATGTGTTGGAGTAGTAAGGGTGTCACAGGATGTCCTACTCTGTGGAGTAGGTGCAACCCCTTCCCTTGGCCCAAACATGCTGACTTAATACATTTTGCAATTATTAGTTGCACCTCTAAAAGTACTAGGTACATCTTTAAGAGAAAAATATAGATAAATAAACTTTTATTCAATTTGACCAATAATAAAAGTCAAAATAAAACAAATATTTACAATAAAGAAGATATGGACTACTATTAAATAACCCAAAGCTCAACATAAGCTTGGACCTTCCTCTTTTATACCCAACCAACTCCTCTTGATTCTTTTTGTACTTGAACCTTGGACATGATTTCATTAATTAGGATTTGTGTTATTCATTATTGCCTAGGGTGTTATGTTTCCAATGGTGTTGGAATCACCCAAAAAAGAAGTTTAGAACTCAATATATGATTATATTAGTGAGTAAAGGTCAATATATTAGATTTAAGCTAAAATGCTATAGTTTTGTAATTTTTAAGTATAATAGATGGTAAAACCAACCCTTAAGATCAACATAGAAGTTGTAAATAATTGTTTTAGTTTTTCAATAAAATTGAGAGCAACTTGATAACATAAGTATAATTATAGATATTGTGTTTATACCATATAAGGTTGTAGAAGCTTAATATAAGAAGAGACAATTTCTAAGTTATATTGATAAGTTATTTTATCCTTTAAGTGCTTAATCTCGTGAATGATTTGAGATACTTATAATAGTAGTTAAGAAAGAGAAAGTGTGACAGGGAACATTTGGGAATAATTTATGTATATGTTACAATGAATATGTGAAATGTTTGTGAGACCTTGTGCTCGAGACTTTGTGCCTTTATGAGATATGAGATGCTTCTGCATGATGTGCACGATATGAGATGTTTATGCATGACATGAAAACTGTATGTGATATGAGATGTTTATGCGTGAAGCAATATGATTATGCATGATGCAATATGAGATGATTATGTGTGACATGATATGAAATGTTGATACACAATATGAATAAGTTCAAGAAGTGAATTGGAAGCGAGAAATCTAAGAAGAGCTTCGTTATTTGAGATAGTTTAGACATAGATGTTTAGTAGGGAGAAAGTCTAGCTTATTTAGCTGCATGACAAAGAGGTGGTGCAATGTACATTTGTGTGTTATGTGTTGTGTTTAGAGTCATGCTTTCATTCATAGTTTGTTTAGAGGCAGGTTACAAATATATGTGAGAGAATCTCTATGGTCTTCTACCTTGACCCTGTATGTATTATGGTGGAAAACCTCTAATGTTAAATGGGAGGCGACCATGCACAACTGTGATACCTCATATTATGAATTTGTTCTAGTTAGAGTGAATCATATGTTTGGTACTCATTGTGTGGTGACCTTTGTTTTTGTCCATGTGCTCATAGGCTGCTTCATACATGAGTGCCTAGTGCAAATTAAGAATGATACCACATAGTCATAAAATTAAGAGCATAATACCTCACAAGTCATGTTTCTTTTGAAATGTGTGAGAACTTGAGGTTGAGGTGTGATTGACTTTTGTTAATATGCTATGAGTGTGGAGTTGTTTAGATACTACCTATATATCTTATATGTACATGCCTATACATACATGAGATGCATTCGCCCTATTTTTTTATTATGCTATTTTTCTTAGTTAGGTTGAATATCATTTTCAAGTGCAAACCAAGTAGATGAATTTGAGCGTATTGAGATGAAGAATAGGCTTCGGTTCTAAATTGATTAGTGTGAGACAGGCTCGAAGACTAGTTTATGTTTTCCTATTGTTCACATTTGATTATGGGAACAATGTTTTGTACTTTAGAACTTTTTTTTTTTATTATATTTACTTTTTTTTATTTATTAAATTTCGTTTTGAGAACTTGCAAAAATGATTTGTATCTATTATTGAGAGCTTAATTTTGTTTATGGAATAATATTTGAGTTTTATAATAAGGGATTTGAATCCTTTTACCAATGAATGAGAGTTTTTATTCTGTGTTATTTTATTAATATATACTTTATTAAAATATTTTGAGGTAGAATGATATCACATAATTAATAATTTTTTATTCTTTAATATTTAAACAATAAAAATATTAATTGAGTATAATAATTATTTTTTTAATATAGTTTAAGATTTCTAATGGAACACTAATTTGTTTTGTTAATGTTTTTTTTAGTAATTTCAAGTTAGAGAAAAACAGTTACGATCATTAATATAAAATTAATAAAATATTTCTTTCAAAATTTTATTTATTGAAATTCAAATAAAAATTTTCAAAGTAATTTCATATTTTATTTTTTATATATATATTGTGAATAAATTAATAAATTGATTTGATATTTATACAAAATAAAAATTAGAAAAATATATTTTTTCAAGAACTAAAAGAATTAATCTTTAACCAGATATTCTTATGATCTTAATTATCATATCATTTTTGTTAATATTTTTTTTATATACATCTACTATTTTTATGAAGTTTAATCTTTGTATTCATTTAAAAAGAAGTTGTTATTGAAATTCAAAAGCAAATATTATATATATTTTTAAACTATAATAAAATTTTTAAACTAACTATCTTATAATAAAATCTATGTAGATAATATATTTTTTTAAATAATTATATAATCTTACACACTAAGTAATTAATTATAAATCATATAATAAAATATATTACTTAATTTTTTTAAGTTAAATTAATTATTTTAACACACGAGTATAAATTAAGAACTTGGTGTGGGGCTAAGACAATGTCTTATTAACAGTTTTGAAAATTGAATCGAATTGGCTTGTCGAATTGATTTGATCGGGAACCAATCTTAAATTAGTTCGATAAGTTTGGAGAACCACTCTGTATTGAACCAGTGAAAAACTAGTAGAATCAATAAATAAAAATTGGTCAAATTAGTTTGAACTTGATCAATTAAAAAATTTATTTTTTAAATTTCAAAATTTAATTTAAAATATTTTTAAGAAAAATATAAATTATAATAACTTAATTTTAGTACTTATTTCATAAATATAATTTAATCATTTATGTTAATTTATAATTTTTAATATCATTATTTTTTATGGTTTATATTATATTAATTCGATACTTTTTATTCTAGATGTAATTTATTATTATTAATAAACATTATATTTTATTAAAACTTAAGCTTAAATATTATATTATATTATATATACTTTAAAATTTCACGTATATATTAAATATTAAAAATTTATAAATAATATTTTATTTTAATTTTTTGTATTATAAAACTGTAATATTATATTTATTTAATACTAATGTTATATAATAATAATAATTATTAGTATTTTATTAATATTAGTTTGATCACGATTCAATCACGGTTGAATAGTTAATCTTGAACTAATATTAAAACTAATTCAATGATCAATCCAATTTTAAATACATTACTTATTGACTTGTCTCAGTCACAATCTTGTTTATATATTAGTAAATATAAAATATATTTCGGTATGAAATTATTTGAAAAATATATTTATAGTGGATCTGAACTTTAATTAATGCATTACATTATTTAAAGTTAAATATTTGAATAATTATGAAGAAATAAAAAAAAAAATCTAATTGTCTTTAATATGTTTCTGGATCTATCCTTTATTATATCATGATTTAAGTTATTTTTATCTTAATAATGAGAGATGTGAGAATTATATTTCTATAAAAATATGAAAAATAAGTTTTTAATTAAACTATAATTTTCCTTTCAACTTTAAATTTTTATTTAATTATTATAAATCTAACTTAAACATATTTCTAAATATTCTGGGATCAATACAATAAAGAAACGCCCCTAAGAGGAGCACAAGACAAATAAATAAAACGAAAGTTTCAAAAGTGACATGATATCTAGCGCCAAATGGAGGCGTCGTGCGCGTACAACTGCAAAACCACACACCTCTGAGCTGGTACTTACGTGATCTCAAATGCAATCATATGATTCCAATTTTTATTCCATAATAATATTCTATAACTCATGTGAAAATTTATCATCACTCTCTCTTTTCTTTGACTTTCTATTCTCATCAACCTCTCGTTTTTCCTTTTCCTTTACGTGATTAAGCTATCGCTGCTATGGATACTTAACTTAGCTGATAAGGATTCAACTATTATTTTTTTCTCAAAAATGTATGTTTCATTCATTAAGCATTAAAATCGTTTGAATACAAATAATAAGTATTTGATAGAATTTCTTTATTAAAAATAAAGAGTATTTTTAATAATTTTTTTTAAAAAATACATTTTTAAATCTGGATCCAAATAGTCTTAATAATATGTGATTGTCCAATATTGTAGGCATCTTTTTCTTTTGAAGATGATTAATACAATATTTCAAAATTGATAATGAAAAATTTATGTTTGCGAGATTTAACATTACTAAGCATTTTATATGACAATAAAAAATTGAAAAGTGATGTGAATTAAGATTTCATTGGGTTGAATTTTCCGGATTTCACTCCCTCAATCAGTGACTTTTTAAGATTTCATTTCCCTCCTAATATATATCTCAAAATTATTTATTGTAGTAAACTGTTTAGTTCAATTAATTCACTTTCATGATTCGGCAAAAACATTTCACTCACATGGATATCACAAAATTCACAAGAAAAGTGATGTGAATTAAGAAAAACACAAGGCCACGAGTCTAATCACTAGACCAAAACAAAAAAAATAGGTGAGCTATTGTTCTATAGTACAGCATGACTGACAGCAGATTTATCGAAAAAGAAAGAAAAAGAATGAAAAATGTGAGAATGATTAAGCAATTAACTAAATAGCAGAGAGGGAACCTTCGCTTTCATTCATTCATTCACTTCCAGCAATGGAATTAGAGGACTTGTTCCCTTTTGCTACCCTATGAATATAGTAGCTTTTTCCTTTGTCGTCATCATTATTAACTCATTATCAATACTTTTTCAATGAAGCTTTCATCGTTGGCTCTCTTTCTTTCTTAATACAAAATCCCAGTTCAGAAGTTTCCACTTTTCAATGACACACACACCCACATACTTCTCTCTCTCTCCCTTCATTCCGGATTTGCTAGTTTTGCTCCACCCTTTTCAATTTTTGTATCAAGTTTGAAGCTTTGATGCTTTTCAAGCACACCCATCTTCTTGTTTTTGTAAAGCATGAATTGATTCATAGCTGAAGTTCATTTTGGTGGATACGGTGTTTGTTCTGGTTCTGCTCATTGGTATGTATATGATTCATATATGTTGAATTGTTGATGTAACATGTTCTCTGGTTCTAACTTTTTTTGTAACCATGCATTGAAGTGTTTAGTGAAGGAATCATTTGTTCTTTACGATGTTTATGGTTCTGAAACTTCTGATAAAAGTATGGAACAATCTTTTTAGGAAACTGTTTTGTTTACAGTAAACTCTAACTTGTGCTGGAATTTTAAGGTTCAGAGATTTTGGTGCTTCTGTTCTCGCTTTCCAGCATTTTGTTAGAAACTTGGTTTTCTCTTGCTCTGATTCGCTTTTCCATGAATGGATTTTGAAGTCATTGATTTTTTGAGCTTCTTAGTTGACTAATGATCCTCTTTCTCTTCTCGGTAGGCATGAAAGTCAAAAGTTTTCTGATTTTTCTAATAGGCCTATTTAAATCAATCTTCAAACTCTATCATTTCATCTAAATCTGGGAAAACATTGGTCAGTTTTCTTTTGCTTCCTTTACTATAATGTTTTTATTGATAAGATTTCTCCATTATGTTTTACATATTCTTAAGTTAGCAACGTTAGTCGTCCAATTATAATATCATTCAAAAGCTGCACCTTTTGGATATGGAGCATCGTAGCATCCAACATTTACAAATAGGATTATCTGCTCTAGTTTGAAGGAATTGTTTGGTTAATACTTTTACTTAATTTCTGTGAAAAAACAGTAACTTGTCTGTATCAAATGTAATTTGGATCTTACAGCTTAATAGATTTTATTTATGTCTTATTTGGCTAAACTTCTCAATAAATTCTTATTGGAAAAGTAAATAAGAGGATAACATGACTTCAGCTTCTCCTATAAGTTAATATTGACTTGTGCATGTGTTAATTTATAAAAACTCTCTTGTTTTGCTTCTCCAAAAGCTGATTTAACTTCTCAACTAAGCTAATTTTAACTTATAGGAAAATTAATTCCCTATATCTTATCATTTTATTCTCCTATAAGTATTTAATTATTAAGAAGTTTTATCCTAGCAAAGCCTTAATTTTAAGATTCTCTGATTTTTTCTGTTATATAATGATCTTCAATTGGTTCCCAGTAACTTGTGGCGATTCAGGGTGTGAAAGGAAGGGATCTGGTTCCAGAAATTTTGATTGGTTGAGACATGAACCCTGAAAGTCATGACATGAGAGAGTTCTGGTAGACCCTTCGACTGTATGGGAGGCTTATTGCACATGTTTGAGTTCAATCCGGGAAGGATGGCCAAGAAAGTCCATTCCCATAAGAACCATAATGGTGGTAAGTGTTGTTTTATATATTGAAGAGAGACTTAACTCTTTCTACGATAGACCTTGGGTTACATAGTCTTTAAGGGAGTTAAATTCAGCATTTTTTGACTGATTTCTTAGGAAAGCTTCAAGTGACTATTCGTTTATCAAGTTTTGTATTAGTTAATGATTTGAAGTTTATTAACTGTGTAAAATGGTATGAAGCGTCTAAATATCAATGCTACTTAGTTTGTTGCATTTTCGAAGATATCTTGCTGAGAGTTCATCATTATTATAATTATAATTACAATTGTTATCGTTATTATTTTGTTTTAAAAGTTCTGTTTTGTCCCTCCTCTGGTAGATTTTGTGAGGTTAATTCTGATTTGTTATCAACTTATCATACTGAGTGTCATGTAGACCTGATAACTTCTGGACATAGCATGGAGCTGAAAGTTGAATCATCTCAGGTCCACTATCCAGAAGGAGAAATATCAGTAAGTTTCTCTTCACTATCCTTTACATGTTAAGGGTTTCAACTTTCAAGGCACCACCATCATTTCATAACATGTTTCATTTACCTTGCGTATATAACATGTTTATCTTACCATTCTTAAATGGAATATGCTCTGGTGAATTTTCAGTACTCTTGTCAAGCAGATGATGGATGGTCAAAGAATATTAGTTACTCAAATGTGGCTTCAGTGAAAAAGCTGAACAATGAGGAGTTATCAAAACAATCAGGCACCAGAAATAAAGCACCAAGCCTTGTGGCAAGGTTGATGGGGATAGACACCATGCCATTACCATTAGAGACTAAATCTGTTGTTCCATTGGATGAAAGCAAATATGAAAATATTGAGAGGAAGTTTCCAAAGAAAGGAATGAATGCAAGGGGTTCCTCCAAATTGGATTCTTTTAGCTACATGGAACTTGATTCATTTTATCAAGACATTGATGGTGGTGGTGGATGGGGACAGAATTTTGGAAAACCAAGGCCAAGGGAACATCCTCTGGAAGAGGAACTCCAAATATTCAAGAAAGAATTTGAAGCATATCAAGAAGCAAGGTTCAAGGAGTGTTCAATTGCTGTCGAAAAAGGAGGTGGTTATAGGCAAATGCTTCATCAAGAAAACCTGAGCAAGGAAAAGATGCAACATATTGAAAGTTCAAAGACAGATAGCCACTCATTCAAAACAAAGATACCCAATGATGATATCGTGGAGCCAATCTCAACTAAGAAAAAAGAATCCTTTCCTTCAAGAAGTAAAACACTAAGTAGAGACTTTGAGCAGTCTTTGATGATGAAATCAAGAAGCAGATTAGATATATGTGCTTCTCCCACTCCAATAGTTATCTTGAAGCCTGGTTCTGATAGGTTTTGCAATTGCAACCATGAAGATAATTGCTTCAATTTTTCAGGCACTTTACAAGGGGGAAAAGATATAGAAGATTTTCTTGAGGAAGTGAGAGAGAGGTTGAAATGTGAACTTCAAGGGAAAATAGCCAAAAAGGATTACAATGAAAAACCTCTTGATGCTAAAGTGGTCAGAGAAAGTCTAACAAGAGATGCTGAACCAAATTTACTTCGCTCAGAATCAACAAGATCATACAAAAGTGAAATGCACTTCAACGGACCAAGTTCTCCAGAAATTTTCAACATAGATACCAGGAGATTCTTTTCAGAGAGGCTAAGAAATATTGTAAGAAGTGAACTGCATTTGGACATTCCTGAAGTTGGTTGTTATTTAGACAATGACACAATTAGGCTAAATCAAGATACTGTAAAGTGTGCAAATGACAAGAGCCAGTGGGGAATTTTGAAAAAGAGAAAAGAATTACAAACAGGTTCCTATAGACATAAATTAGATGACAACGTATTGTTCCAAAAGGAGTTGTCTCCTAGAAACCTTGAAAGATCCTTGTCTGCTCCTGCATCAGGAACATCATTTGGGAGGCTTCTTCTAGAGGACCGCCACATTTTAACAGGCGCTCTTATTCAGAGGAAGCTTGAAGATGTTGAAATGCAGGTGGATGTTAAAAAGAAGAAAGATGGATTCAATATTAAAGAAAAACTTTCCACTTTTAAATATACTCTTGGTCTAAGAGGGAAGCTGTTTGGAAAAAGGGTTAAGTCAATAGTAGAATCACATGGCAGTGAATATGGTCCCATTTTGAGAGATATCAAGAGTGGACCAACTGTTCTCATGAAATATGGTGAGAGACATGTAAGTTTGTCATATACATTTTTCAGCATTCTCTTCTATGACCACTGTTTTCAATTATGTTGCATTTATGGTTGTTATCTAATCATCAGAGTTTATGTCATGTATGATTTTTAGGAGAACTCCACTGAGGTACCTCCTAGTCCTGCATCTGTTTGCAGTTGTGCTCATGAGGAACATTGGAGACAGGCTGAATATTCAAGTCCAATATCAACTCCAGATGTATCTTCATTAGAAGATATTGTTATTCCCAAGGTTTTTAGAGATATTAGCTCTGGTTTGAATGGTGAGAGACAATTTTAATTTTCAAGCTTGATTCAATGATTTCACATTCATAAAAAGAATGTCAATGTCGTCTCATTGTTGTTTTATTGCATGTTCATATATAGTTAAATCTACAAACAACATTTAGAGCCAATTTGAGTATAAGTTAAAATTTTTTTGAGAGCTTTCTACCGAAAAGGTTTTTATTTCTAGTAGAAAACTCTCAAAAGGTCTTTTAAGTTTGTATCTAAATAGACTTTTAGTCTGTTCTTCAAATGGATAGTGATCCTTCTTGCAAGATATTCTCATGTTAAATTCACTTCAAATTTCATCCTTAGATAACTTGTTTCAAGGGCTACATGATTTTCTGTCATAGCAATTGTATAAGAAACTTAAGTCCCCCCCCCCCCCCCCCCCCCCCCCCTCTTTTTTCCC